AAATAGGAATCTTATGCTCATTAAAAAAATAAACATAATTTAAAGATATGAGCAAATCTCTAATTACGTGAAATTGTCAAAGTTAGCTATAAACCAATTTTATGTCTCAAAAAATAACAATTCATTCTACCAAGAAAAACATACATACTAGCATAAAAATGTTAATTAGTCATTTCATAGCTTGCTTTGACAATCCAGAACATAAACACACTAGTGGAAAATTGCAATTTACCTACGGACAAATAGCGACGGAATAGTCCGTCGCTATAACAAGGGTTATAGCGACGGAATAGTCCGTCGCTATTTTTCCGTTGGTAAATTGTTTTTACCGACGGAAATGTACATTTTAGCGACGGAAATTATCCAGTAGTGACATATAGAATATAGTGACGGTAATTTTTTATTTTTTAAAATTAGCGACCATTTAGCCGTTGCTAATAAGCCGTCGCTAAAATTTAGTGACGGAATTTCCGTCGCTAAAATTTAGTGACGGAATTTCCGTCGCTAAAAGTGTTTTTAGGCACCCCTGTTATAACGTCGAAGTTTTAGCGACGGAACTTTATTTTTTCCGTCGCTAAAACTTTTAGCGACGGAAAAATGACTTATAGCGACAGATTTGTCCGTCGCTAAAGGTTGAAAATCCAGTAGTGACATATAGAATATAATAATATTACCTTGGAAAAATATTATAATTAAGATCCATGGTTTTTGGTAGATGATCTTTCCTTAGGAGCCTATTAGTCTCATGAGATATAACATTAAAGTGGAATTTAATTATTAAAATTTTAAAGGGTATAAAATACTGTGAATTCGTGCAAATTATAAGATTAAAAACATAGGATTGCGATGAGAATAAAAATATTTGCATAAAATTTATTTTTAATAAAAGGTTCTTGACCTTCATGTACTATTTAAATTGTACTTAATGTGAATTGACCGTATAATTTTGACTTTGGCTATGGTAATTTTAATACTTTTGATTAACTATATAGTATATAGACAATAAATTATTTTACTTTTTCACATGAAATTAAAAGAAATATTTCACAACCGCATTAAGTAAGAAAATAAAACCAAAAAAAAGATAATGATATTTAACCACGTGCAATACACGTGCATCTAATCTAGTATAAATTAAAAGCTATTGTTAAAACACAAATGTGTAAACTTTTAACATGTAAGATTAAAAAGAATAATTTATTAACTACGACATATAATATATAAAATTAAGAGTTATTCTTTAAAGTTAGACTTAACACTCAACATTTCAAATTAACATCTATTGTGTAGAATGGTTATGCTATAAACTTAACATGCAATGATTAAAGTTGACATCAGCTAGGCAAGATTCACAACTAATCTTTTATAGTTCATTATCAACCTATACAAAGTTAGATTTAACAGTTGAAGAGTTTATAAAATAATTATCCAATAAAATTGACACCTAACACTAAAAACATAACAATAACCTATTAATTGTAACATACATTTTATAGAATTAACAGGAGGAATTCTTATGTCAACTTAAGTGGACATCAAAGTTTCTATCCATTGATGATTCATAAGGATCCATGCAAGATATGAAGAGACTTTATATATATATATATATATTAGAAAAATGGGTATATGCTTGGTACCAAGCACAAATTTTGTTGTTGGTAGTGATGTGTCACATCCTCATCCACTCAATACCCATGTGAATGTTGTCCCATATTTGAATGAGTGGAGGGGGATGTGACACATCACTACAAGCATAACTTTTTGTGGCTTGTACCAAGCATACCCATATTGGCTCTACATATATATATATATATATATTTATATATATATATATATATATATATATATATATATATACTATATATGGATAGAAAGTTTGATGGACAAAGTCATCTTGTCCACTTAAGTTGACATAAGTTCACCTCGAATTAACAGTTGCACTCTAAACTTAACAACCAATGGATAAACGTTAACAACTAATATTCAAATTAACATGTACTTTCAAATTTGAGAGTTTAGCTGTAAGCTTAACATACAACCAATAAATTTAACCTTGAATTATTAATATTCAAAACCAATCCTTCGTAGTTCACAATAACGTAGAGGACATACAAAGAGAAACCAACATCAAAAAGGGATTATCGAACACAAATTCACCAATATTTCAAGTTGACAAAAGCTTCTTCACATAATTGAGAAGAAACTAGGGACTAGGTAGTAACAGGCAAAATAAAATTATTTTGCCTACATTAATATAGTAAAGAAATGAGGTAATATAAAAAAAAAAAGAGCAAATTGCTGTCTAAAATTTTATTGAGAATGATAGGAGAAAAAAAAGACTAACCACTGGAGCCAAAAGAAAGGCCATATTCATTTTTTTTCCATGAAATTACTAAAGAGAGAGAAAATGAATATCAACTCATCCCTCAAAAATAAGCAATCACCCCCTAGATTCAATGAATCATTTTCCTGTTCTGTATAAATTCAAAACGAATAAAAAGAGGTTTTATTCTATACTATTCTAGAGGGAAAAGGGGAGAATTTAGTTTTGAATAAGGGTAAAGATCCAGATGAGGAAAACACCCATAGAAGAGAAAAATTGAAATCTTTCTTAGAATTTCTTGCCATTGGAGGAGAAGAGGTGGGCTGTCGAGGGAGGAGAAAGATGGCGGCGAGTTCAATCGAGGGGTCTTGCCATTATTATTGGAGTTGAATGAGGAGGCGTTCAAGCTCGAGGTCGGTGGTGTCGAATGGGGAGGAGGGGTTCGAGGACAATGATGAGGCGGTAGTTATTTAGATTAGGTACGGGGGTGATAGAGGAAAGATCGGATCTTGCCCATTAGAGAAGAAGCGATAAGACTCTAAATCATGTTATAATACACTAAAAAAGTGAAATCTAAGGTCATTACAAATAGGTTACAAGCTTTGATGCCTATTTTAATTTGTTATAATCAAGCTGCCTTTGTGAAAGCTAGATCTATTATTAGTAATGTCCTGCTGGGTCATGAGCTGGTCAGTCATTATGGTCATGAGAACATCTCTACAAGAGGTATGATGAAAGTGGATATCAGGAAGGCATACGACACAGTTGATTGGAGGTTTATAGGAACTACCATAAACTGATGTTATTTGCTTTAATCGGGTCTCAGAGCTTTTCTCAACATAGGATAGGAAAACGCCGACCAAAATAGCAAGCGAGACGCCCCCCCCCCCCCCCCCCCCCCCTCTAGAAGTTTTATAGAGTGTTTTGTGTTTAAATTACTTTGCATGTCGCAACCTGAGGCATGTATTTGAGCAACTCAATCTCCACAACTAGATATAACTTTGTGACCTTTCTTGCCAAAGGCATTATTTGAGAAATTTCGACGAGTTGCAATGTCTATTTTCTTTTGACTGCAATCCTGTCGGTGACACTAGTGGCTGCTTTTTGCTCCATAGAAGGTTTCATCACTCTGTTAGTTCTTGTTGTGGGTATAAGTATGGCTAAGGAAGAACTAGAAGTTGGTGTCGATTTGTTCAGGTGCTTTTTCTTATCAAACGCTATGAGATCTTTTGTTGTTGTGATGAGCTAGATATCTTTGTTTTCATTTGGATCATTTTCCTAACGTTGCAAAATGTGAAATATACTTTAGCCCGTCTTATTGTACTAATATTAAGCCTATGTGGATCATTTCCCTTTTGCTGATTTAATGCTCTTATGTGTTTCATTACTATGACGAATATCATAAGTTTGTGGCAAAGTTAACTAATTCTATGGATGATTGATGCAGGGGAAATATTGAGGTCCCTATGGTGATTTTAGATTCTAACCCTTGCTATATATGACGATGCATGTATGAGGCTTGCTCCAGTACTCTTAATGTTGCTATTGCGTCCAACTGAGTGTTATGTTTGTTTCCTGGTATTTTCTTTCTTCTGTCATGATTCTGTTCATGCCTGAACATTTGAAAGATGGGAAATAAGTGGACTATGGTTGTGCTACTATTTTGTTTATAGACGAACTTACTACTCTTCTAGTTTATCAAGTAATTAAGTAGATTGTCCTTACTAATCATGATCGTGTTGCTGATAGTTATGGTGGCATTTATATCATGTTATTGATCTTATACAGATCCTTACGTACCTTGTGTTTTCTATCTTGATTCATTTAAATATTATCGCAATTTTGTTGTTATTGATCTTTTGGTTTTTGGTTTGGAAATCTGAGGTTAATTTTGCAAATGTGTGAGGTCTGTACATTTATCCAAATTTATAAACAGTTCAGTCAAGAACAGAGCTTCCTTTGTACTTTTATCCAAGCTTGCAAATGTGTGAGGTCTGTACTATAGTTAAATGGGTAAATGGATGGCCCGTTTATTAAATGGGCGGACAAAAAACCGCCTGTTTAAAAATATTAAATGAGCCATAAATAGGCAAATGGTTAAAACATGCCCGTCCATTTAATATCCAAACCCACCCATTTAACATCCCTATTCATAAGAGAGACTACGATTAAAGGCTAGAGTTATTTTTGGGATATTTTTAGGCTTATATCTCTAGTAGGTAGTATATGAAGGGGCTCAAACACAAAAATGTCGTGTATCCGGGGCTTTTAGACATGGGCTAAAGTACTATGGCCTTAATCGCAATAAGTTTCAGTTTTTGTGGGCCTAGTCTTAGTTTTTCCAAAAAATAACGAATTTTTCGATGACGTACGACCCAGCACACGCTATATAAATCTTCACACTTCGTTGGCGAGAGGTAGGTAATCTTACCGCATTGCGCCGGGCTGATGGCATATTCCTCCCTCGATTCGGCCACGTGTTCACATCTCCTCCATCTATTGGGTCGCCGAGATGCAACGCGTTCCCTAAACCGTCAATGCACCTCACCTCCGACTACAAAATAGGACCAACTCCTTCAATACTCCTCAATTGACGTCATCAAACCATTGGTCAATACGATTGGTCCCTCTATAAGGTGTTTACACATTCTTACTCAAAAAAGAAAACGAATCCAGAGTCAGAAACTAACTATAGTTAAAATTTAGGTATGGTTAAAATTAGGGCTAAAATAGAACCGCCGTCCCTTTCGCCACAATTAGAGTTAGGGTTTCCTTCATTCTTCTAATTTTTGGATCCAATTCTGTGCAAGTTTTCATCTTTTGATCATGGAGATGGAGTGTCCGACCGAATTCCCTCATATTCATTTGGATCGGAGGCCGAGGAAGAGGGCGAGGTTAGGTTGGGATGTTGTCCCCCAAAATTCAAAGGTATACCCCCCACCTCCCCCTAAATTCGTTTGATCTGTAAAATTTTGACGAGCTTTGTTATAGATCTGTTCATATGATGAAATTTTGGAGTTTTATTGTTAGATCTGGTGATTATGTCGTAAATTCGGTGTTCATCTATGTCAAATTCTTGTTGTTTATGTAAAAATCTTTCATTTTTCTCAAGAAATTTACTAAATTGATGATTTTTGCATTATGTATCGTTTGTGAAGGAATAATTTGGCTATCGTTTTCATAGGCTTTGATACGTTGTGCACAGTGCAGATCTTCTTAAGGAGTAAATTTTTGTTTATGTTTCAACTTTTTGGTGATTAATTCTGATCACGAAGTTTATTCTTCCTTTTCTTTTTGATCTGGTGGTTTTGTTTGTGTAATTTTGTTGATATTGTCTTGTGCAAAATTTTCTTTTGGCTTGTTCTGTTGTACAAATCTGTGGTTCTTTTTCATGAAATCCCTGATTATTGTCGTTTTAATGGGCGAATTTTTTTCTTTCAACAACCATTTATCAAACATATTCAGATTCATATGGTTGGTGCAAATAATCAATATTTTTCTGTTTGGCATAGTTATCAAATAATTTAAGTTAAAATTCTTACTATAACAGAAAGATGAAAATCAAAATTTGAAGTATTGCAAATTAGTTACGTAATTGGTCTGATAGCTTCATAGTCATAGACATGTAGTTTTCTTATAATTGACTATGGATATTTTGTGGATAAGGGGTTAAAAAAATAACTAATGAATGAGAGCTTAGATGATAACTTTATTTATGAGTGGGAAAAATAAACGAATGGCTGTGTGTAGGCTCAAGTAGGAATATTATATGGGCAAGAAGTTGGAGATGTGACAAGCTTGGTGCCATCAGGGGCAGCACCTCCTACAGACCATAGTTCTTCTCTATATTCAAAGGGAGTGGCTCGAAATGCTTCACCTCCTTGGAGAGAAGATGATAAAGATGGGCATTACATGTTTGCTCTTGGAGAGAATTTAACCTCTCGCTGTAATTACACGTGAAATGCTTCTCTTTTATTGTAGCATCACAAAGGATAAGATGCCCATGTTCTATCTTATTAGATTTTGTTGTGAGAATATATATTGGTTTCTGACTTTTATGTTTTTATTTGTGATTGCAGATAGAATTCACAGCAAAATGGGTGAAGGTAAGTTTGTTAGTTTACTTGTGATGCTGTGATGTTTAATTTTATCTTATTGGGTTCTTGTTCCCATTCAGTTTGCTTGATTTGATCTACCTTGTTGTTGTCTTGAACTATTAGCAGACATGTTGAAAATTTTTGTAGTTTTTTATATATCATTTTAAACTCATAACAGGGTCTTTATATGTTCTCATCGTTTGCATTTTGTATGTTCTCATCATCTGCAACAGGTACCTTTGGCCAGGTTTTGGAATGCTGGGACAGGGAAAGGAAAGAAATGGTAGCAATTAAAATTGTTCGTGGCATCAAGAAATATAGGGATGCCGCTATGATAGAGGTGGATGTGCTTCAACAGCTTGGAAAGCATGATAGAGATGGCAGCCGGTGAGTTCTACTTTCAGTTGGTTTTTTATCTTACTGCTCTGCCTATATTTGTTACACATTCTAGTGGGTTTGAAGTTATATATGTATAAGCGGGTCTATTTTGCAGTTGTGTACAAATACGGAACTGGTTTGACTATCGTAACCATATCTGTATTGTAAGTATAAGATTAATTTGTGATGGTTTCCCCAATTTCCCACCTAGTATTGGGGGGTTAAAACATATTGGTGCATTCAAATGATGTTAACAGGTGTTTGAGAAGCTTGGTCCAAGTTTATACGATTTTCTACGGAAAAACAGTTACCGATCATTTCCCATTGATCTAGTTCGTGAGCTTGCAAGACAACTATTGGAATGTGTAGCATGTGTGTAGACAGTACTTTCACAAATTTCTTTCCATTTCATGCAATTTCTTTTGAATAAATTTGAGAATGAAAACTTATTTTATTTTTTTGCTTCTTTTTGGTGGTTAGAGCTTTTTGAGATGCTCTAGCATATCACGTTTATTAATCTCTATAATAGCTAGTCTTTTTATGTTAACAAATAATCATATGGTTTTGTTCATTCTTGTTGTAATTTACCTCCTTGCAGTTATGCATGATTTACGCCTCATTCATACTGATTTGAAGCCTGAGAACATACTTCTTGTTTCTTCAGAGTATATAGAAATACCTGATTACAAGGTATAATTTTTGATGGCATGTAAAACAAATCTGCTTATATCTATGCATATACCTTATTTCTCAATGATCGAAGAGCAGTTTACATCTGTCATGTTATTTTAATGTTTGAAAGTGTATTTTACTTCCCCTTTGTGGTTCATTATTTCCTGTATGTGGATTGTGGACATCTTGGTTTCTGTTTTTGCTGATCAATTTATAATTTGATGTGACAGGGTTCATCTCGATCTTCTAAGAATGCATCCTCCTCCAAGAGGTTGCCCAAATCAAGCGCTATCAAGGTTATTGATTTCGGTAGCTCAACTTATGCTAACAAAGATCATAGCTATATTGTTTCCACAAGGCACTACCGGGCACCTGAGGTTATTTTAGGTATGTGTTGCTCAGAAAATATTAGATATTTTACCACTATACTTGGTTTGGATTGATTCTTATGGGGGGATTGATTTAGGGCTTGGATGGAGTTATCCGTGTGATATATGGAGCATTGGGTGTATTCTTGTGGAGCTTTGCTCGGTATATGCTTAGAGGAGATTTATTCTGTTTATTTGTGTGCACATCTTTACTCAATACTAAAACTTGGGAGTCTGCAGGGAGAAGCATTGTTTCAGACTCACGAGAACTTGGAACACTTGGCCATGATGGAGAGGGTACTGGGTCCTCTTCCCCATCATATGCTTAAGAAAGCTGAGTAAGTGCATTTATTTATAGGCTGCTGATTGTTTTCTATTTATGCCAGCGGTTCAATTCTGACATACTTTTTCTTTCTCATGCCAGCCGGCATGCTGAGAAATACTTGAGGAGGACCCGACTGAATTGGCCTGAAGGTGCTACATCAAGAGAAAGTATGAAGGCTGTGCAAAAATTACCCCGTCTTCAGGTACAGATACTACTAATTTTAAATCTACCAAAGTTTTTTCTTGTTTCTGGGTTTGATCGTTGGCCGAATCCCTTGCTTAATGATTGTCCACTTTTTAAGTATAAACTCAGGGTTTTATCTTAATTACCTAGAATTTTTTCTTTGTTCTAGTTGAGTATTTAATTAGTGTTTATCTTTAGTTTTTATTAATGTAAACGTACTCGATGAAATGGTCTAAGAAAATTATGTACGGAGTTGTTTCTTCTCACGAATGTAACAATATTTTTGTTAGGGATTATGACCTGCTTTGCTTGGGCTTTCTAAGAAGACTTGTATCATTGTTATTCATGCAGAATCTGGTGATGCAGCATGTAGATCACTCGGCTGGGGATCTTATAGATCTCTTGCAAGGCTTGCTGAAGTATGATCCTGCGAACCGATTGGAAGCTCATGAAGCTCTCAGGCACCCCTTCTTTACGAGGACCTACAGAAGATGAATTGAACATATATAGAAAATTTATCTTATAATCAAGATCCAACTGAAAAATCTTGAAATATGGAGGGTATTATCTCTTTATTAGAGAAGCCGAAATTCAGCATAAGCTGTTAGATTTTCATTTTGCCTTTAGGATTCATATATCAGCTGTGGCTGGTATCTTTTCTTGTAGTATATGTTCCTGTCCTAGCAACTTGTTTGCCTGTAAGCGATGTAAATTTGTTAAATTAATATAATCTATATCACCTAAATCTTGTCTTTGATTTGTGGATCGCTATGGTTATCATTTTCCTGTACCACACCCTTAAGCTGTGTGGCAAGAGCTTCTGAACACTGTTAATGTGAGCAATCTTCTTTTATTGGTAGCTTGAACGGTTAAATGTTTGATCTTCAAAGATTTAATTAAATTGTGCATGGTTGCTTAGTCTTTTTCTCCTGCTCTTTTAGATGGTAATGAGCTATGATAACTTTTTAGGTTGTTTTTCAGTAGCCGTCTTTTTAATATAACAAACAAGGAGATGATTAATTTTATTTTTACCGGTGAAGGTGAAAATATATGAATTTTCAATGCGTTCAAATGTTACATTAGTTAATCGGTCATGGATTTGGGCTCGACTGACAAGCGAAAAGATTGTTGCATCACGATAAATGAGTCATAGGTGTAATATGTTAAAACTGAATTTTTTTTCCTTCTAAATTTTCATTTTATATCTTTAAATCCACAACCAAATCTGTGTCTCCAAAAAAGTCGTCAATTATAGTTCTCGTATCGGATCTGCATCCAAATATATTATATAATAATATATATATATTAGTTATAAATATATATAATATATATATATATATATTATATAATATAATATATATTAAGAGAAAAATAGAAAAACTTGGTAGCCAAGTTGCTTCAAGCAACTTGGTAGTTATGTGGCCTAACTCTTGATCCTACATCTACAATAGGAGTTGGTGAAGGGTGCGTTTGAGGCTCTATCTTCGACGCGTGTGATTGTAGGTCAGATTAGGCCACATCACTACCAAGTTGTTTTAAGGCAACTTGTCCAAGGTTCTCCATATTTCGTCATATATATATATATATATATATATATATATATATATATATATATATTAGGATTTATGCACGTGATTAAATGTTATGATTAAGTATTTTTGACTTATTTCTTTACTAAAATTTGTTTCTCAGTTCCACTTTGATTGTTTTTCTCACTTATGTTTTTAAACTTTACTATTGTGGTTATTTATTTATTTTAATGTTTGTTTGAATGGACTACATCAAATTTAAAATTTTCATGTAATAATTGAATTGACAATAAATAACTATAATCTAAAGCTAATTTGAATTTTCACGTTATTTAGATCGGCATGAAACCAAGCTTGACTTAAGAAGGTATAATGTTATAAAAATAAAAAACACTTGAAAAGATAATGTTATAAAAGAAGGATGAATAATTAAAGTCAATAAGACAATATGATAAATTAAAAATAGGTTAGAATAAAACTAATGAGAATATAAATTTTGTTGCTAATCACTAATAGACTTTAGAAAAAATCATAAAATAAATATTAATGCTAACTCTAGTACACTTTTATATGATAAAAACATCCACATAACCATATAAAAAATTAAAAGAGTTCATGAAAATCACTGCTAAAGATTCCTGATTTTACTCAAAAAATTAAGCAATTTTTAAAAGCAAAAATAATTTAAATTTGTGTTGTATTTATAAAGAACATTGATGGAGATGCTTTTGTTTTAGCAGCTTGTTCTCAATGAGCCATGCATATTAGATTTAAAGTGTAATATATTTTCTTTATCATGTTATATGGATGTTTGCTTGGTTTGCTTATCTATCTCTTATTTCTTTAATAAGTTGATATATTATTAACACAATTTACGATGACATGCATATCTTTTATACAAATTTGAGACAGGTATAAGATGAATTTTATATTTAGTGGCATTTAATAAGAATTTTAGTTGTAAAATATGTTACCTTCATATTTAAAGATCTTGAAATCAGACAGTACTATTACATGCTTATCTTTGACCGTGTTCTTAAAAATTGATCTTTTGTTGGTAGTCATATCCCTAAATAAGGATACTTGCAGAGTCATGCAACTATTTAGAGAAAAGAAAAATATCAATTTTATTTTTTTACTTACACTATGGTAACTAAGTATCATGTGCATATTTTTTGTCCATTATAATAATTTTTCTCATCTTATCTAGTTTATTATATCTCGCAATGTAGTTGATCAATGACTTCACTTTAGTTTCTATTGCAAGATTATTTATATAAAATTTTATATTAAGTTTATAATTCCTTCAGTATGTTTAGAATAAAGTATGAAAATTTATAAGTACTTCTAATTTTTCTTGTACTTTTCATGAATAATATTTTTTTAATTAGGACATAATTGTTCAATATGTTCTTCAATGAGAACTCGGTTAGTGCTTCTTTGCTCGATATGCTTTTTATCAATGTCAATTCAGGTGATTCATGAATGTTTCTGAATTTTGAGTTTATTTTCTTCACTTCTCCATTTGAAATGAAAAAACTTAGTTCTTTTAAAGGATATCTCTGAACTTTCTGATAGTTTCTCTATACATAACTCATTGTATTTTTTTACTTTATAAATAAATATTATCAACATTAGAGATAAATGTTTATACATTATAATCAATTAATGCTAATATATTATATCTTAATGTAATAATATCAAACATTTCCTCTTTTCTTTGCCAAATTTCAGCCTTTTTGTGATTTGAACTTTTGAAGGTGTGTTTTGCAATTTTTAAACTTTGATAGTATTTTATGAAAATTTTAAATTTTAAGTTTGGCGTTTATAATTTTTATGTTTCATGTATTAGTGATAAGTTTTTAAATGTTAGAATATTTCTCGTAACTCTAAATATTTGAAGGTATTTTTATAATTAATTACTAATATTTTGGGTTGTTTTTTTAAAAATTTTAAATTTTTAGTAATCTGCTGATAATTTATAAATTTGATGTGTACCAGTTATAAGTTTTAAAATTTTAGAAAAATTTAATAATTTTTTACTTTTGAGAGAGCTTTTGTAATTTTTGTAACTTTGAGGTTATTTTTTTACTAATTTTAAATTTTTATGTGCCTAATGGTAATCCCTAGAATCCATCTATGTTGTTTCTAAGTTTTGAAATCTCTGAATTTTAGAATGTTTTTTTATAATTTAAACATAGCTAAATGGCACTTATATACCCTATTGTTTTGTTCTTATAGTAGTTATATACCCTAAGTTACAAAACATAGCAAAAAAATACTCTGAGTTGGTAACTTTTTAAATTTAGCTAACGGTGTTAAAAAATACATGAAAGGATAATAATGCCCATCTTTAGGAATTAACCCCCCCCACCCACCCATAGTGAAAGCTCTTATTTTCTACTATTACCCATATTAAAGAGGAAGAAGAAGTTGGAGGCCACGAAAAGAAGAAGATAGTGATGAAAATAATCTAATTTGCGGGGGAAGGTAGGTAATACAATAAATAAGGGTAAGAAGTATTCACGTTGATCATAGGTCCAGCATGTTGGAATATTCCAAAGAATATTCTCATAACTGGTTAATATAAAGTACCAACTTGTAATTTGTTGCCAACTCAGGGTATTTTTTGCTATATTTTATAACTTAGGGTATATAACTGCTTCAAGAGCGAAACACATACGGTATATAAATGTAATTTAGCTTTTAAACTTTTGAGGTTGTTTCTATAAATTTTAAAATGTTGAGGGTGTTAATTGCAAGTTTTAAATTTTTAGATATCATGTTTGTTTTTAAGTTTAAAAAAGTCAAGGTGTTTTGTGTAATTTTAAACTTTTAAGGCTATTATATGCAAATTTTGAAACTTTTGGGTTTTTTTATAATACTTCATGTATTATAATATGTTATCTACGTATAATTTCTTAATCTTATTTTTCTATATTTTTGAGCTATAGGTAGTTCATATGTAGTTAATATAGGATATAATTAGTATTTGGATAGATTAAGATTTAAGTGAAATATTCAAAATAATTTTTTAAATTGTTGACCTATAGATAGTTCACATGGAATTAGATAAGATATGATTAAAATTAGAATAGATTAGGATAACAATATAATATTCAAAAAAGCTAAGGGTAATACTGACCATAGAAAGATTTTTCCGAACTCGTGCTTTTAAAGGGAGTATGATATGACATCTGGGTGTGGTAAAAAGTAGGATAAGTGTAACCTTGTTATTGCCCAAATACCTAATCCTTTACCCTTAGCCTAACTAGTAATGAAGAAAAGTTAATTATCCTTACCTAAAACGGGTAAAAGTAAAAACATTTCTTTAGCCCATAGGGTAAAACGAGTCAATTACCAACAAAATTTCCTTTACATACAATTAAACAGAGTGCCAATCAACATCTTAAAATAAAGTCTACTGCATGACTTGGTGTAAGGTTTTATTTCGCAAACAAAAAAAGTAGTATTAGTCTAAGGTGATAAAAATAAGATCTAAACGACAAATAGGCAGACGGGAAAGTATAAAAAAGCTTTATTACATCCTACCTCTTTATATAAACCAGTAAAAAATATCTTACTTCTATCATATCTTTTTAGCTAAATGGACAAGAGAAACTTACATTACACAAATTTTGTGCTTGATAGTGAAGTGTCATATTCCCATCCATTAATTCTAATTCTCAATCACTCCCCAACAGATGTGAATGTGGGCTCCAATTTCAATAGGCAAAATGACCAGATTTGTATATTTTGTAGACCATAGATGACAGAATGGTATAAAATTTTTAACTTTTGTCAAATTGGTATATTATGTAGCCTCCGGCGTCCTTAAGTTTGGTCGGGGTAATTTTTTCGGCCAGTGCTGAGGGGATTTATTGCACAAAACCCCCTCATCAAAAACTCATCCTGCTCCTAAACCCCCCTCCTCCTCGTCCCCCTCCTCCTCCTCCTCCTCCCCCTCCCTCCTCCTCCTCGATCCCTTCACCAGATCCACCACCCCTCCCTCTGCCACCTCAGCCGCCGCGATCTTCTTCGAACTCATCACCAAACCCTTCTCTTTCTATCTCTTTTCTCATAACCCATCTATATTTATTCATATATCCTCCTCATCCTCATCATATCCTTTCAAAGGTAGCCTCTTTCTCTCAACCCACTTCCCAAATAAGGCTGATGGGTTTTCTTCAATCTCATAAATAGCATGAATTTTTTGCAAAAACATTCAAA